AGTTAAGTGGTTTTTGGGATTTTTTTTGAAAATGTGATTGTAATCTGTCAGTAAGTGGCAGTATTTAGGCGGATTAAGTGTTTTGCAATACATCAATGTAGTAGTGTATAGTAGTGTTAGTGGCAGTATGGTTAGTGCAATGATTGAAATATCTTTCAAGAAATAAAGAGGGCATTAGTATTGCATATTGCATTAAAAGAAATCTAGTAGTGAACTGTTTGTTTTTTGGAAGAATTGTAATATTCGTAATATTTGTGAATCAATAAACCAGGTACTTATAATGTTCAATTTACTGACATAATGTATTAGTTTAGTGGTTTCAATGGAATATATCATGAACAGATTATTGCAGTATGGCAATAATTTGGCAGATTAGTGGGGATTGTGAATGAAGGATTCAATTTTATTTGAGAGGTAATAAGTTGAATGTTTCATCTTGCAGGAATATGTGAGGACGACGGAGTGTGATAACTTTGTTCTTGAAAAGTCAATGAGAATAAATAGTTATTGCAATATGACAAAGGCAGTTGAAAGTATAAGAAGTTGCCTAACGAAGGATGAACTCGCTGAATTTAAAAAAACAGTTTTCGGATACTTCCTTGACTTGGGAAATATTCCTTGGGTAAATGGGCAGCTTTTAATCCTTCTCATGGCCAATCACGTTGACCGTTTGAATGTGCCGAATGACAAAAGTAAGCTGGAGTTTCTGATTGGCAATAAAATTGCTTGCTTCACAAAAAGGGATTTTGCAGTTATCACTGGGTTTCCATTTGGTACGAAGAAGCCAAGCATATCCACACAGAATCCAGGGCATTTGTGGAATACATACTTTAGTGGCATGAGTAGTGTTGGAAGAGGGCAAATTAAAGCAGCTTTTGAATCAGGGAAGGCCAAAAGAAGCGGAAGCAAGAAAATGGATGCAGTAAAGCTTGGATTATTGCATGTTCTCAGCAGCTATATTCTGGGGAATCAAACATCAACAAAGTTCCCCACTATGTACATCAATCTGGCATATGATATGGAGCAGTTTAATACATATCCATGGGGGGACGTTGTATGGGATGATTTACAAGAAAAAGTAAGGAAGTGTGCAAGTGTTCTTTACCAAGAAGCGGGTGCAAGATTTACTTTTCCGGGCTATCTATTTGCATTGCAAATTTGGGCATACGAGACATTTCCAGGTCTTCAAAAAGCAAAAGTGTGCGTGAGGAGGGAGGGTTCAAAGTTGTGGCCTAGGACAGTGCAATGGTCAGCTCCTGCTAGGCCTGCACAACAAGTGCTTGAAGATGTTGTATTTAAAAATGAGCAGGTGCAATTACTTCCTAAAAATTTTTATGTGTAATTGTGTATTTCAAATGGTGTAATATAGTCATGTTTTGACGTTATGTTTGCAGGTACAATGGGAACAAATGAAGCTGACTAATGAAGAGTCGAAGATGGAGTTGGTGATTAAAGCATCCATAAGTGATGCTACTGACATGGGTAGTAGGGATGGAAGTGAGAGTGATGATTTTGTAGAACCGGGCCCAAGCAAATGGAAGCGCAAGGCAGTAAAGATTGAGCCTAAGGTTGCAAAGCGTAAGGTTGCTGCTAAAAGAGTGAGAACACATAGTAAAAAGACAGGTATCTTTGATAAGAAGGGTGATTCCATGATACACAGTGTGATGGCAGCAGTGACTTTACAAGGAAGAAGAATAAAAAAGCTAGAATCGAAGGTTGAAAAGCTGTGTGAGTTGGCAATGAAACAATCCAGCATGTTGAAGAAAGCTTTATCGATTAGAGGCAGAATGCGGAAGATGCCTAGGATGAAGAAAGTGTCCAAGAAAGTAGAGAAGAAAGATGAGGAAGCAATGCCGAAATTTGACTTGGGTCTGGATTTTAATGAAAACGTGGTAGAGGATAGGGAGCAAGATCATGGACACGAGGAAGTTGAGGAACAGGATTCTGAGGGAGCAGATGTCGTTGATGGGATGGTCGAAGACGATGTGGAATTGACACAGACCGACATGTTCAAGGACATTGATGGCACAATGAATACGCAAGAACTGGTAATGGAGGTGGATTTGATTGAAAAAAACATGAGGTCTGGTATGACAGGGCAAGAGGACAGGAAAGAGGAGCAACATGATTTCCAGAGCATTGAAGAAATTGGAGTGCTGGATACACAGCAGCTATGTGCTCAGGTGGATATCATTTGTGAGCAATTGTTGGGCAATAACAAGAATCCTCAAGGCAGTGAAATGGATGGTGAAAAGGTGTTTCGCTATAATAAATATACTATTCTATATTCATAAGTTTTTGTAGTATATATTTTTAATTCTATACAGGTCCAAAGATTAGTATATTATTTCCGTTGCATATAAACTTATATAGTTGAGTGGGGTATTTGAATATTATATTGTACAATGTAATAATACTGTTGTTATATATTTCTGGGCATTAAAGCTCATGAATATGAAATAATAGTGATTTGAATTATTTTGGTGGTGATGTAGGATAAGCAGAACAGGAGTGCATCAGAGGCCGAAGTGGTACATACTGAAAATGCCAAGGTTTTTGAAGGCATTGACCCAACAAGCGACAAAAGTGTAGAACCAATTGACTCGCAGATTGTGGTAAATAAGTTTTTGGACAATGTGTAAATGAATATAAGATTTTATACTATGGGTGGGGCAATAATTTAGGGAAGTATGTTTCAGGCAGTATGCGTATTGGTTGAGTTATAGGTCAATGAATTGGAGATTAGTTAGGAAAGTATGTTTAGGACAGTATGTATAAATGAATATTAGATTTTGTACTAATTGAAGTGATATTAGATTTTCACTAGTGCATGGCTTGTTCAAAGTTGTGAGTAGCAGATTAATGGGTGGGGCAATAATTTAGGACAGTAGCTTTAAGACAGTATGTTTATTTAGTGAGTAGAGAATGAATGAATCGGATATTAGGTAGGACAGTATGTTCAATGCAGTTAGTGTATTGGGTGTATATATGAATACATTTTTATGCTTCGTTCAGGTATACACAGGGGACACAACCCCGCTGGCAGTTGATGGTATGCCAAAACGACAGTCCAAACGGCCAAAAAGATTCACCTTCTCTGGGCCCCGAAAAGATAAGCGGAGGAAACGAGATAAAGAAAAGGAGCAAGATATAGGTGACGATGTGCCGCGTGCAATAGTGGGCCCGTTCAGTTTAGATCCTTCTGAAATGCCAAACGCAGCAATGCTTGAAAAAACCGCAAAAATCATGCATGAAGGACTAATTAAAAACCACCAAAAAAGCAAGGACAAGAAATACAAGGCAGGATATGATGACCTAAAGATCAAATGCGTGAAAGGAGGATACGGGGATGGAACCATTGATAAGAAGTCATGGTACTACGCGATTTACTTCCCAGGGAATTGGTTAGGTGACACGGTAAATTTATATTGTGTAATATTATTTTTTTCTTCATATTACGCATATTCTCGAGTGTAATGCAGTAATGAATAATATTGAAAATATTGTTTTGTGAAGCATGTGGAGTTAGGGATGTATTTCTTGAGGATGAAAGCTGAACAATACAAGCTGCAGCAGAAATTTACGACAACAGACCCTATGTTTATGCCTTTGGTCAAACAGCATTACGAGAACCACATTAGCAATCAAATGCCGGTGGCAGAAAGTGCTTTAAATAAGAATATAATGTGTACCATACTTGGGACACGTTTGGACTACGCACTGCCATGGGCTGAAGCAGAGCATGTCTACATGCCACTGAATACAGGTATGCAATTGAATTTCTGTATTCACTTATTTATGACAGTATGTGTACGGCAGTAATGCATGACAGTATGTTTAGGGCAGTATGTTTTGTGAGGTAGGGAAGTACGTGTTTATATGAAATTTATACAGGTAACCACTGGATTCTGCTAGTGCTGGATATAGGTAAGAAGTGCATACGTGTGTATGATTCTATCGTTCGTCGGGAACAAACAAACATACACATTCACCATTACCTCCCGAGCATGCAAATGTATTTACCTAGACTGATGGATAAGCTAGGAGTGTACAATGAGCGAAGTGAGGGGCCTATTGGGGATGATTTCTTGCAGATACATATGGTGAAAGAATGCCCACAACAAAATGATAGGTATGTGATTTGTTCAATGGTAGTTTGGTAGAATTGATTACTAAGTCATTAATTGGTGATTTTATTTATTGCCACACAGTGATAGTTGTGGGATGTTTGTGTTGAAGATGGCTGAGTATCTAATGATGGGCAAAGATGTGGAGTACCTGAGGCCCGAAGATATTAATGCTTACCGCGGGAAGATGACGACAGAGCTACTAGCTTATTTTGGTGTAATAGGAGCATAAACTTGAGAAATTAATGCCTGTCGTGTTTTTTTTAATTATTTTGAGATATGGGTAGGAGGACAAGTTGAGAATGATACATTGCAATATGGCTTGGATTCTGAATGTTGGTTGTATGAGAAATTTATGTTACATGTTGAACAATTTATTTCATTGTTTAGGTATGTGACGGCTTATTTTAATGTTATTGCACTTATTTTAGATTCACTGCCTATAGAGCTTGAAATATTGTGTAAATACTAGATAACGGATGTATAAAAACGTGCCATTAACTTTAGAAGACAGTGAATTATTCCGAGTATTAGATGAAGTGGTAGACTATCAGGTACGTATATGTCATTAACAAGATACTAGTGAATTTTGTAGTATGAAGGTTAAGTGTATGAAAAATGGAAAGGCCCATGGGCATTAAAATGAACATGTATATAGAAGTATTAATGCCCGACGAATATGAAATATAGAAATGTAAATAAAATGCCATGGACGCTGAGTTAGTTTTTGTGAAAAATCTTATAGGACCTGGTAAAAGAAAAACCTTATAGGACCTGGTAAAAGCAATATAATTAGTAGTATGCAGTCAATGTAGGGAATTAAAATATTGACATGGACATTAAATAACTAGTAAAGCACGATCACTCACACAAGGAGGGAAGCAAGTCATATGGAATTAATATCCAGAAATAAATAACAAGAATGTTCAAAAACAAAACAAAACCAAAGTGGTGAATGTCACTAAATTCGTAGAAATATTAAAAAAAACAGCAAATTAAAAGCAGTTTTTAACGCATGTGTAGCGGAATCGGATTTCTACAGGTCTTTCGGTTGTGTCCAGCCATGTGACAACGAGTGCATGTTTGTTTCCGAACATGTTCTCCAGTAGACGGAATCCTTCTCTTCTTTGGCCTTCCAGGAGGTCGTGATTCGCATGATGGGGGCTTGCAAATGACTTGACTCACATGCGAGGGTACCATCCAACCATCTGGACTCCCAATAGGATGAATAATGCCACAGTATGTTTGTGCCCAATGATGTGCTGTATAGAATTCTGATATATAATCGTAGCAAGAAAGACCTGGTCGAGAGCGAATGGCAGCAACGGAATGTACACACAAAAATCCATCAAGCTCAAATTCCCGACAAGTGCACGTACGTTCCTTCAAGTTGACAACATACGAGCGGGATTTCTTATCAAACACCTCAAACTCAAAAGCACATGATGGTTTCACCTGCACAATTCATTATCAAATAACCAAAAACAAAATAAAATATTTTGAAATGTACAATTAAATGAAATAGTAGTGGAATAGAGACAGATAAAGCAGTGAAATAAAGACAATGGTTTGAGGGAAATACTGTCATCACGGCGGCCATAGCTTGTAAAACTACTAGCTCAGACTCAAAGTGTGTAGATAAACGACAAGTGTTCGACGACGAAGTTTCTCGCCTTTCACAGAACCACTTTTGCATCCTAGCAATAATAAACTCTATCAACTTACAGATTGGGTATTCTCGGGCCGTGGCATTAACTGCATTTAATGACTCGGCATTGTTTGACATCATAACCGAGTATCGATTCCGACTGGCATATGCACGAGACCATTTGTCGTGACCGATCCGCTCTAAATACGTACGAATACGTTCATCCTCAACATCAAGCATGCGAAGGTACTCTTCACACTCATACACAGATCCTACACGAGCAGCCTGCAAAAACTTCCATGACACGGATGTTTGGGAACCACGAAATCTTGTTTTCAAATTAGCCAGAATGTGGTAAACACAATACCCATGCTCCGCATGAGGAAATACAGAACGCACAGCATTAATAATGCCCTCGTGCCGATCAGACACAATATATAGATCGTCCCTATGCGTCAACGAACGCTTCAACATGCTGAAGAACCATGACCAGTTTTCAGTATTTTCCCCACTACAAATACCAAATGCCAAAGGAAATATTTGTTTGTTTGCATCTTGTGTACATGCAGTGAGTAATGTACCCTTGTAATATGACTTCAAAAAAGACCCATCCACAATTATAACAGGAATGCAATGAATCCAGCCATCTTTCCATGCAGAAAGGCACATGAATTTTTTTTTAAATTCACCATTTTCCTTGCAGGAATAAGAAACAATAGAACCTGGGTTACTCCTATCAAGCACATGACACATGGAAGGTAACCGAGCATATGATTGTTTTTCAGATCCCATAGCCAATTCCATTGCCAATTCTTTGGCAATCCATGCTTTTTTGTATGACATGTAAATGCCATACTTGGTTTGCATATCAAGCATGACTGATTTCGGAGGATATGGCTTATTTGAGGGATCACCGTACTCGTGTTTGATTAGTTCGGCAATAAGCCTAGACGTAGCCTGGCGGTTATTTCGTTGACGCACATCAATGGGGCATGTGTGCTCAGAGTCAAATCTGGGAAAAATTGATAAGTTTAGACATTATCTAATAGGCAATACAGTGGATTCTAATTTAATGCACATTGTTCGGAATAAAAAATAAACAGAAATTTAATGCATGTGTAATAAGAAATTAAAAAGAATTAATAATGTAAATTTGATAACATAAAAACTGAAAACACTAAACAAATTGAGTTAAAAAATATTTCGTCAATTTATACAATTAATTAAATAACGTAAACACATGATTGAAATTCACTATGTATTACAACTGACTCTCATAAAATATATATTGCCATTCAATTAAAGTGGAGAGAGGACATTAAAAGTGAAGTGGAAGCAGGGAATTATTTAGGCCAGTGAGAAAAATTATGAGATACATTGACATGCAAAGAGACCTTAATGCAAAAAGGAGGGATAGAGGAGGACATTATAACATTTGATCAAAGGACATTAACAAAAATACAGGCATTTTAATAATGAAATTATTCCCCTTAAAGCAAATTTTTTATTTAAAAAGTGACACAATAAAATTACGTAATAAAGCATTAATTTTATATGTTATTTTGAGTGAGCGAGAAAATATATTGAAAATATATTGTCCCAAATATATTACCTAGGGCAGTAATGAGACCATAAAAGAGCATCATAGGGAATTAAATTCATACTTCATTTTTACTGCTCATTTTTTTAAAAACTAATGTTGTGAAGGGCAGTAATAAACATGCATGCAACGTATAAACAACAATACAGTGCCAGGGCAGTAATACACATGGAAGGCAATAAACTCAGAGAACTAATTGCGTACCTTTTAACTTGAAACAATGACACTTTGTCGATGCAGACAGCACGCACAGCCCACTTGCAATTGGGGTAATCAACACACACAACATGCAAAACCATCGGGCAAGATGTCTTCGTTCTATATTGAAAAAAGTTGGTAATGGCATACATCTTTAAGTGAAAATCAAGTTCCTTCTTGCTTCCATAGATGCTGTTCAATGCAATGCGCGTGGGTTCGGAATGCTTAACTACAGGCATATTACGAATCTCTTCATCTACAAGAGAATTTAACCTCGTAATTTCAGCACTCGAAATATGTTCAAGTTCAAAGTCTGCATCGACAGTGTGACTGAAATCATTGCCTTCATCACTTAAGCCACCACGCTCTTCGAGATAACTCGTAGGATTAATTCCACTTTCATTGTGAATATCATCACATATTGTGATGCTCTGTTCCTCTCCAGTCGTAGCATCAACCTCCTCACCGGATACAAATTCAACACACAACGGCATTTGCATCGGGTCCTTTTGCAAACTCTTCAATTGTAGATAAAAGAGTAGAGTACCATCATCACATACATTCACGGGAGGTGGGCACGCAGCAAATACGTACGACATCTTAATATTCTTCCCGGCATAAGGCTCTCCCATCGCAGCACAAACTTGAGAACATAGAAAATCATATGTACAATTCAATGGTATAGTTATGCCGGCAACATGAATACTAGAGAACAAAGTATTTGACACCCATTGGCCGTCGTATTTTATCATAATCCACATTTCCGAGTAACCTATGGGGACGGAATCCATGGCTAATGTCGTGAAATGGTAGACGTGAATGGAAGAAGATGAAAAGAACGTACAGTTATTGGATAAAAATTAATGAAAATACTTACTTTCTATTAATTACTTCCTTATTTTTAGGATATTCCCTTTAATAAATGACAGGTTACACGCACGGCAGTTACATATCCGATTAATATGCTAAATCATGATAAGGAGAACCAACGTGATAATGGTGATGCATCGCCACAATTTTAGGAAGTCTAAAATAATTCATTCAATGCATACAAGACTAGTCTTGGTATTAGATTAAAAGTGAAAACACACGTGCATGGGAGAACCGCATCTGCGGTCATAGATTAAGAAAGAAACTAAACTAGTCATAGGATGGGAAGTACTTCGAGTTTTAGTAATATCCGTGTTAATTTTCTCATTTTTCATCCTAGTTTTTCACTTTTTCTCATGTTTTTTCTCTGGTTACGTTGCTCTATTCATTATATGAGCGGTTCTAATTAAATGTTTTAATATTTGTGATAATATAATTTTTTTAACAAATGAGAGAGTGACATGTCAGCAGTTTCTAACTGAGTTTTACTGTGTAAAACAATAGATATTTTACTCAAATAAGAAAAAATGTAATGCTTCAAAGAGAATCTATTTGCTCTAAAATTATACACAAGCCTATGTGACGTGCACTTGTCGTGATGTGCACTCAAAATAATAATCAATACGACACTAATACGTAGTATAGTGTAGTAAGGTTCGTATCCACAGGGAAAGGAATTCTTTTCTTCTTACAAGAATAAATAAGTAACAATAAGGGGGGTTTATATTTGGTTGAAGAACTTTAAATTATATTTAAACACGAAGATGAACGAGTTATGTGATTTAATTAATGAGAAGAAGACTTGGCTTTGCTTTTATCCACTTAATGAAATGTTCGTCGATCCCGGTTATATCTTTAACTATCTTCCTCTCGAATACTCAATCGAGGAGTATATCCAATTCATCGAGGGTAGTTATTAATAACGAGACGCGTTCATTAATAAAACTTACTACCGAGTTAATATAGAACACGCGCCGTATATTTACTCGATAGTAGCAATAAAATCAAGATGAAAACGATTGAGATTGATAACCTCAACACAAGCGGTTTATTGGTTTAATCAATATAATTAATTCCCCTTGGCTTATTAACCATGAGACGCATGCATTAACAACCCAAGTTTACTACCGTGAAAGGACCGAGTTAATAACAAGCGTATTAATCGACCGATTCTAGTATTAATTAATATATGAAACAAAACTAGTTGATCCTTTAAGTATTGCTCAAAATATTAATATGTAATAGGAATAGGAATTAATTAATATTCAAGGAAGAAGATTAAAGAAAATAACTCACAACTTACAATTCATTAAGCTTCAAAGTAGCAAAACCAAGATGGAAGAGTTTAGCTCCTCATTTGGAGACTAAACATGATGAAAAATATAAAGAAAGAACTTGTCTAAACTGAGCTAAGAAGTATATGTGAATTGGTGTTCAAATGGGAAGGAAAAGAGGTGTATTTATAGGTTTTTGAGAAACCCGGTCGGGTTTCCTGAGAAATTGCCCGGAAGCTTCATTAGTCACATTATACCCGATCGGGTTTTTGATTTGGGAAAATTTTCTAGATATGACTAAAAGATAAACAACTTCTCAAAATATGACTAGAAATCTCCCGTATGTTTTATATGACTAATTTGTAGGTAAAAGGCATACGGTGCCATAATACATCAGGAGTAAATATCGTTAATACCCTTAGCGGTTAGTTTTGTAAAAAAGTCTTCCTCCGTTTTATTTCTTCAAATAAGGAATCATGCGTTTTTTTTGGGGTGGAGTCATCCATAATGATCATACATTATTTAATCTGGCGGAATTATAATATTAACTTCTCTTTCCATGCACTATTTTCTCTAGCATTAAAATCTATTCGAACTAAATTAAAAATACCACAATGAAGGGCAGTAATTACATATTGAGCATTAAATAATATAGACTCTGGTGCAATCTAGAAGGGCAATAAAATACATAGATGGGTGTTCATATAATTATGAGCAATATATATACACGATAGTATATATATATATATATAATACAGGCAATTAGTAATTTTTAGGAGTATACACAGTAATATTCCGAGCAGTGAAAGTATATCTATAGTGCAATATAGAGGGGCAGTAAAAAAACATAGACCGGTTTTCATATAATTATGAGCAATATATAGTCCATATAATATAGGCTGTAAGTGATTTTAGGAGTATAGACAGTAACAAAGAAAGAGCAATAAACGTATATTAACGGTGCAATATAGAGGGACAATAAAATACATAGACAGATATTCATATAATTATAAGCAATATATATATGTATATAAATAATAGACAATAAGCAATTTTTAGGAGTATAGACAGGCAGACAGCAATAATGAAAGAGCGGTGAAAGTATATCTACGATGCAATATAGAGGGGCAGTAAAATACACACACGTATTCATATAATTATGAGCGTTATATATAATAATATTATATTGTATTATGAGCAGTATTTATATTACGCAGTATATATTATAATATATTTATGAGTAGTATTATAAGGCAGTAATTATTATGGTCCGAGGGTTTGGAATGAAAACAAGGTTCCGAGTATATATCTCTTCTCTAAATTAATTAATTTTGATTTAAGTTATTCAATTAATTGTTATATTATAGCTCCGTATTTTCAGGAATAGTATTTATCATATGTGAAAAAATAGGAGAAAGACTCCATATTTATGGATTAGAGGTTAGCCGAGGAATAAAACTCAGGAAGAATAGGAAATACTGAGTATTTATTACTAATAGCGGTTACCATATATGAATAACTCCTCTCCTTATTTTTAGGAAGACCAATAATGAACACATGTTTTGCTCTGTTCGTGCATATCGATCACAAGCGGTTAAATAGGAATAATAAATGAGTTCCTATATTTAAGATTGAGGGCAACCGAGGAATAAAAAGAACCGTGAATGCACATGCATACATCCATTTACCACATATTGAGAATAATAACTAACAAGTCATACATTGGGAAACTTAGGTAGTTTTAATCATACGAGAGATAATTTTCTCTATATTTAAAAAGTAGTGGGAAACAATAGGAGAAATTTGGAATGCCCGCAAAAACATGAAAAAATAAAAATTGGACCAAACATTAATAAATTAACGTTGACGTTTGTAAAAGAGTAGTGCCACCATTTAAAAAACGAATCCTAATCGAAATTTCAAGGTAATAAACAAGGCCATGAATATTATTCGATCTGCTTGTACGTTGCATATGGAACAGGTTTATATAGTGTATTTTGGAGAACACAAAGGGCAGAAAGAATTACAAGAGATTGAAGAAACCCACCACTCCTATCTATTTTCAGTGAAGAAAAGTGAAGAAAATGCTAAATCATCTATTCTCTATAGTTACAAGCATAGCATCAATGGCTTTGCTGCTGTGCTCTCTCCTGATGAAGCCTCCAAATTATCTGGTAATGATAAATATTTAAAAATGGAAAATAAATTTTTAGAGCTCATTTGATAACACTAAAAATTGTAACACTGCTAAATCAACTGAAACTTCTGTAATTAGGGCTGAAAATGCATTAATTAGCTGATGAAATATATATAAAAATACGGGTTGCGTTGAAATGGAAGAACTAGTGGCTGCGTTGACTACGAAGAGGTGCAGCGTTGACTAGGGCTGGGTCCGGAAAACCGAAAACCAAAAATCGAATCAAATTAAACCGAACCACGACCAAATAAAACCGAACCGCTAAAACCTGAAACCGAATGTAAAAAACCGAACCGTAGTTGTTTGGTTCGGTTTTGGTTTTTACCCTTCAAAATCGAACCGAACCGAACAAACCGAACTAATTAAAATATGAAATTTTATTTGTTAATTTTTCATTATTAATTCTAATATCATCAATAGTCTTTGATTTTTTGTGCTACATAAATAATGTTTATGTCATGTTTAGTTTAGTTTAGTTTATAAATGCATTTACTCATTCATTGCACATAATAATGTAGCTATATTGATCGATAATGTCTTTTATTTATGTATGCATGCATGCATGTTGCAATTTGTTGCATGATTATTGTTTTTAGAGGTGATTAGTAATAATTTAATTATATTTTTATGTAACTTACATTTTTTACATTGATAAAACAAATAAATATTCATCTCAGCCATATCACATATGATGTATGTATTCATGAACTTTTTTCAAATTAGTCACAAACAATGTAAATTAAGAATATATACACTTATATCTCTCCTGCATACTCATATAATTCAAGACATGTTTATTTATTCTTATTTTTACTTCATTTATTCTAGTATGCTTGTATTTTTTTTATGTAATATGTTTGATCCCTCCAACTATTATATCAATTTTAAATCAAATGACAAATTTTTGATAAAAAAACCGAAAGAACCGAAATCGAATCGAAACAAACCGAACCAATCAAACCGTGGTTCCGAGTTTTGGAGTGTAAAACCAAACCGAAACCGAACCGAACTTTTACTTTGATTCCGCATTTGGTTTTAGGTAAAAACCGAACCGAAAGAACCTAACTCACCCCTAGCGTTGACCTGATCATATCTTTCCCGAAATATATTTTATTAATTAAGTAAAAAACAAGTTCTATGTAAAAAAAGGAGCTAAAAATAGTTTCATCAACCAAACGAATTTAGTTAATTCATGGCTTTTTATCTTGAATATTACTAATAAAAGGGCAATAGGCAAAAAGTGACCTTTTTTTAAAATTCTTGAAATGTGACTAATAAGTGAC